CTCGGGGCGGCCTCTGCCGCGCAGCCCGCCTCGGGCCGCCGGAGCCTTCAGCGCCTCGCGGCTTCCACTCCTCCCCTCCGCGACTCTCCGTGCCCTTCCACCATCGCCCTCCGCCCTCCACGGATGCGCGGCCCCACGAAGGGGTGCTGGGCGACCAGCACAGCGTCCCAGCAGCAGCGGCCCGCGGCCAGTCCGGCGCGCCAAGCTCCTCGTCGCTGCTCGCCTCCCAGTCCGACATGGCGGCCGCAGGCGGCTCAGCCGCCATGTGCAGGGACTTGCTCCGTCTCAAGCCCGAGGCGCGCTGATTGGCTGGGGTGGGCCGCTCTCTGAGCTGTGATTGGCTGGCTCCGCACGCGGCGGAGGCTCTATGGCTGCCCCGCTGTCTTTTCAAGGGGATCACGGAAGCGGTTAGGTTGGAAATGGTGTGTGGGATCTGGGAGTGCGGTTTGTGTTTGAGCACCGCCTTGTCAAATACAGCAAATGAGTGCCACGTCCAGTCTGTCCTTAAGCACTCTAAGCACGGTGACTCCCCCACGCCCTGGGCAGCCTGTTCCAATACCCAGTCACTCTGTGAAGCACTTCTTCCTAATGCACAACCTAAACCGGTCCTGGTACACTTTAGGAGTGTGTCCTCTTGTCCTGTCACTCACGGATTGTCTGGGAGAAGAGGCTGACCCTCAGCTGGCTGCAGCCTCTGTTAGGCAGTTGTAGAGAGCCTTAAGGATGTAAGAGCCTGGATTTTGCTTCAGGAGAAGCAATCCCAGCTCCCTCAGCTGCTCCTCACAGGACTTGTGCTCCAGACCCTTTGCCAGCCTTGTTGTCCTTCTCTGGACTAGTTCCAGCACCTCAATATCTTTCCTGCAGCAAGGGGCGCAGAACTGGAGAGAGAACTTGAGCTGTGGCCTCACTAGTGCCGAGTACTAGAGGGACAATCACTGCCCTGGTGCTGCTGGCCATGCTATTGCTGATATTTTCTGATTTTCCTCTCCCCCTGCTCCTCTGCCCTTACAGGCTGGCCTTGGGTTGGGCTTAGCTGAGGAGGAGGAGGAGGCAGCAGAGGCGAGAACATATTTGAGAACATGTGGGAAGCTCCCAAGGTCTGTAGGGTGGAGTGGGACAGCTTCAGGGAAGCCTCAGGGGAGGCAACAGAGTGAGGGCAGCACTGTGTAATTTTGTTGGGTGCTCAGGGTGGTGTCATCCTGATGCATTGCAGTCTGATTTTTTAAGTGAAGTCATAATATTTTATCTCAAATGAAGCCTTAATGATGGTTTCACGAAGCTTTTATGCTCGGTATGACTCAATTTACTAATGCTGATACAATACTGGAAACAGAATCACAGAACAGCTGAGCTTGAAGACCTCTTGGAGGCCATCTGGTCTGACCCCTCTGTAGGGACACCAAGAGCCAGTTGCCAAGGTGGCTTGTGACTTTCTCCAAGGACGGAGATTTCACAGCCCCCTGGGTAATCTGTACCAGTGCTTGGTTACCATCATTGTGAAAAAACCAGAAAACCAAATCAAAACAAAAAAGAGTTAACATACCCCATGCCCCTAAATTACACTAAAAAAAATGCATAATGGGTGTTTAAATTTCCTTCCTAGGTAGGGTCCTGTATTCCTATTGTACAGAGTAAACAGGGAACATTTATGTATGTGTCTTTATGGATACGCATCACCACCGGTACCTGGTTATGGCAATCTGCCAGGTAACCCAATGGGAAAAACTACTCTCTACTGTCTTCTGACCCTTCCCTAAATGCTCTGTGTGCACAGGAGGCTAGGCTGCCTGGTTTACCACAAGATGAAAATGTGTACAATTGCTTTCTTTCCTGTCCTGTGTTTATTCTGAGGCAGAACTTGGTACTGTTCACATTGGCTGACATGGAAAACCTCCCTTTCTGGCATCTGCAGCTTTAAATTTCAGTATCTTAAGATATTAAGTATCTTAAGTATATTAGGAGAGGCTGGGGATCACTTGTACATGGAAATATCTGGGTCCACTCTTGAAGCCTCCACAGAGGAAGTGACTTCACCACAAGAACAGGCTATCTGTATTTAGTATTTTATACTCAAATAGTAAAGCTTGTCTTCAGCCAGGCTGCAGGAAGAGCACAGTGGAGAAAGTAGGCGTGTTGCACATGAGTATTTCAGGTTTGGTGCAGTAACATTCTACAGTAATTTTCATGGTCAGATGCAGAAGATATGGCTTCACCTCGGCCTCAGGTTAAATTGAGATGATAGATGTGCCTTCCATGAGAAATCCTGCTCCCCACACAGGCCCCTGATTGCCAATCCTGAATCCATTGCCATTTATCAAACACAGAAGGCAACAATAACTCGAAAGCTCATTTTCATAGAGGAGCTGCAACATTAAGTGATAGTAAACTGCTGTAAACAGTTACCAGAAACTGAACGGGTCAGACTGGTTTCTGCGCATTTTATTCTAACAAACTTCCTTTGTGGTGTTTTGGTCCACTTATGAAAAAATTAGAAAACTTCAAAAGCAAACAATGAGCAAGCTTAATTGTGTTTTTCTTTCCTGATATGTGGTCACAACATACAATACTTTATATAAGGAAAAAATGCAATAGTCACAGTACTTTTCAAGTCATTTTTATTAACAACAATATGGATTCAACTTTGTCAAGAATTTACAATTAACATTGTAATGTACTGGCTAATGTTGCACTGTCAGTGGAAGCAGCCATCCTGCTTTCTGAGCCTGCTATGAAACTTTCTTTTTGTCTTTCAAAGAAGTCAAAAATGCTTCCAATAGCAGATGACATTGGATATATCTGGAATTGTCCTGTATGTGGCCACAGCTGAATGAATGGCCACATCTGCATCCAGATGAATGGACAGGAAAATATTACATGCTTCCACTGACGTTGCAGGAGACAAGTCTTATTTCAAAAACAAATTAATCATTTTAGACAGTGACAGCACTTTGTGTGATGTTGTAATCCATTTGAATAAAGTCAATTAACACACTTGGGAAAAAAAAATGTGAAGCAGAAATACCTGGGACAAATTCTTTTCCGTATTTCATTCAAACCTAGTGAATCCAAAAGGATTGCATGACACATGAGTCAGGATAATAGTTGGCCCAGAGAGGCAAGTTCCTTTCTGGTACAGGTGGTTCAGTTCCTGTAAGGTCAGTGGAACTGAGTCTGATTATCCCAACGGAGGCTGAGCTTCACCCAGCTGGGCAGTGAATTCATTGAAGTCAGTGAAGCCATCCAAGGATGAATTTAGCCTCGGGTGTTTAAACCCCTTTTTTCTCCATTCCTTTGCTGTTATATTTTCTTTTCCTGCTTATTCCTATTTTCTGAATATTCTGATTTTCTCTGTGCTTTTAAAAAATGTCCCTTCTCTCCTTTCCTTTTTATATCAGTACTTTGTGCGTTATTTTTTATATAGTCAATGTGACAAGGGTAAATTCAGCTAAGTATTAGTTTCCTCAGGAAATAACTGGAATATTACCATTTTCACTTCAAACAGATGCCCAACAAAATCAGGATTTGAATCTGAGTTCCCAATTCAAGAAAAATTCTTGAATTTCATAGAATGAATGAATTCCATAGAATTTTTGCTTGAGTAAGGATTGCAGGTCCCAATCCAGAAATACTACTGTACATCAGATGTTCTACTATACATCAGCAATTCAGGATGATTTGACTTATCACAGAAAAGCAGGTGAATTACTCATCACCATACTATAATGAGAGCAGTCAATCTAAGTAGGAGAATCTCAAAAACATATGGAACAACTGTGGGCACTGTAAATAAAAGTGTATGATCATTGCAATCTTGAACCCTAGGCTACAACATCATATTCATATTTAAATAAAAAGTATAGATCATATAAGCCAGGAGCAAATACAATTTTTTAAACAAATAATAGTCATTGAAACCATTCTTTTCAGCTCTCTCTTCATTCAGGTAGAAGAACATGCTGACCAGAAAACAGTTATTTAGATCAAGCTGAAGTCCTGAAGCTCTTACTTGATTTCAACCTCTCTCTTCAAACAATTCACAAATGGATTGTAAGTCAGAAAAAAAAAAAAAATTCTTTGTCCTGACTCATGAACAATTCTTATTGGTTGTCATGATCTGGACTTTAATAAGGAGCTCAGGACAAGACTTGAAAAGCCAGTCAGGCCCTTCTTTTGTGAAATCAATGAATGATTGTCAGTCATGACACTGTCTTTTAAAGAGAGAGCATAGAAACTCCTCATGAGGAAATAAGACTAAAGTTTATAAAAATCCAAACAAACAGTTCTTCCTCTTTAAAATTTCATATATTCACTACTCTTTCTATTTTCTATCAATATTATGTTAGAAAACCTTATATGATAAGAACTTGCATCTACAAAAATAATAATAATGGTGAGCATAAAAGAAAAAAATTAGAATTTTAAACCTTAATTTGAAAAGATATGATCTTCTGGATTTATCAGTACTTTGTAAAGACATTAATATTTTCATACATAATTTATAGAACTCATTCTTTTGTGCACAAAATTGTATTAAATAAATTAACTTAAAGTTAGAAGGACTCAAGCATCTCATTTAAGGCAAAAATACCAAGTTTCTTTGAGATAAATTATCAGCAAACCCCAAGGCCCTGTTTCTGTGCGGAATCGGGACAGGCAGGGCCATTGTTCAGTTCTCCCATCCACGCCTTCTGGGTGCAATGGGGGTGCAACCACCTGCTCCTGCAGGTGAAGGTGGAAGAGTGGTGTCCAATTCATGATGCCTTGGTTTTTCAGTCTTGTCAAGGAAGGGAAGGGAGATTCACTATGGACACACAGTTGCCATGTGCCCAATCGCTTGCTCCTTAACTGAACCTAACCACACATTTATGCTTAGGTCAGCAGGAGGCTTCATGTGAAAGGCAAGAAAGGCACCATAAACAGGAAAAAGGAAAAAAATAGCCTAAAAAAAACCAATTCTATATTTTTATATTTTCAATATTTTAAACTTATATATCTGTCTGGATAAACTGCAGACATTCAAATAAGTTAATAGTTAAGTGAACTGAGATGTGGAAAAAAATGTATTTATCCTCACAAAATTGCTGTTGTAATCAGGCTTCGGTATGGTCAGATTGCACATAAAAGAAAACAGGAAAGGCTGAATGTGGTGAATTATATGGCAAATCAGTGGTGCGGAAATTGTGCTTCAAGGTGTCTTTCAGGATTTAACAACTGAAGTTTGCTCCGGCAACAGCCATGGAACACAGTGTACCATCCATGGACCCCATATAATGACACAATATATACACTCTACAGTTTGCATGTACTTTCACATAATAAAGTTGTCATGTAATATCCAGGAATACTTCTGTAAAGCAAATGGAAGCAGAAGTTACAATGGTTTCATAGTAAACAGATCAGCTCCTTCACAATACAATCTACAGCATTTAGCCACAATTAAGACTGGAGTGATGCTTTTGATGTACATAGCAAGTTCCCAGCAGGTCTGGGCCTTGAGAAAACACTGCCCTGAGTGAGCTGGCACTGGCACACCCATACATTCCGTGTTCCTGCTGCTAGAGGGAAGCTGAGCCCAGGCTGGGTTGTCTACAAGCCTGTGGTGCAGGTGGGGTGTGAATCTGGCAGGAGGCAACACACACCTCATTCAGCTGGGAAGAGTGAAAGCCCATTTAGGCTCTGCAAGGGTTCCCCCAATGGCAAAGCCTTGCTGGGGACGTGCAGGCAGGCACTAGCACTGTTTCTGCACCTTAGCAGAAGTGAAGTGTAGGCTAGAGTAAGAAAAAAAAGAGGATGTATCAGGCAGGAATGCTCAGTTTTATGTAGGTTTTGAATTTGAAAATTTGGGTTTTAGCAGGAATAAGTCTTAGAGTCCTGTGTTGGAAAGTTCACAAGAAATGACTGTAGTTGGGACACAGTGTTGAGCTATAAGAGTGGGGCCATTTTCCCTCTCTCCTCTTCCCCTTTTATTAAAAAGCAACAAGCCCTCGCCTTCTTTAATTTTTTTAGTTAAGATGATTTTCTCTACTTCTATTTCTATTTCTGATTGCCTGCATGGCTTTTTTTTTTATTGATTTTTTAAATAATGCTTAATATCTATGAAAAAAAAAGTAACTTTTTCCTTCTTTACCTTTCTTGTTTTATTTTCTGGGATGATTTCCCTTCCTGCCTACCTAAATCCACAATATCATTTATTTATTTTTCTATTGATTGTGTAGTATTTCTCCCTCCTGTTCTGTACTCTTTAGTTTTAATCTGTATTTCAGTTCCTCATCTTCCCTTCTTGCCCAGCCTTATGAAAATGCTGTCATAGTATCAGGTTGGGACTGCAAAGAAAATTGCCAAAATTTTCACAAGAAGGAAATATTGCTTCTACAGAAAAGGCAGCATCTGCTTCCTTCCTCACCTACTGTGGCCAAAATGGTACAGATTCACAAGTCAGCTTCTCAATGAGACTGGAAGAAGGAGAGATTCCTTTGAATTTTCAGTGCAGTCACCCACATTATCCACTTCTAAGGCCAGACTCAATCTTTAAAACACAATTCTTCTATAACAAAATAGTTCTTGTTATAAAGAACAATGTGACAGTGGTGTGTCAGATACTTCTGCCACAGCACTAGATCACCAAAAATCAGATAATAACATACTGTTCTTCAGAGCTAAAAATAACTGATTACTGATGAGTTAATGTGTGTATCTTGCGACAGGCAGCCATTTCTAACCCCATGTTACTCATTTCCTTGGTACCTTGCTAGCAGCTGTAGATAATCTTTTTGTTGTAAACATAAACTATCATCTAAATCAGGACATTATATATATATATTTAATTAGTTCAGAAGCAAAGTGCTTTAAACCTTAAGATTTTTACTTCTGCCCCGTAGAAACAGCACAAGGTCTAAATGCTCAAATTTTTGTTTTTTGATACATCCTGCAGCATTAGCTTTGTAGGCAACTCATTATTTAAACCTACTGTACCACATGAAAGGCTGCTGTACTGTAGGTGTAAATTTGGATGTTAGCCATTGCTTAGACATGCATTTTCATGCAACTAAGAAATATGGGCTCATTCAACTGCTTTGCAGATTCATCCTGATTTTTGTGATTTTATCTTTTTAAAAAGGCTTTCAAAACAGTTCATGCTATGATATGTATGACTAGAGGAATGACCCAGCCAGTGAAGAAAGCCAGAAGTTATTTAAGTTTGACATGGAGCAGATTGAGTGCTTCTGTACCATCCCCTGGCTTGCAGATGTTTTGAGATGATCTTGATATTCCAGTCCTTAGAGAGTCAGCAGAGAGAGTTGTTTCCACTAATGGGCGCGAGATGGCTTCAGTAGTCTCTGTCCCTGCCTCTGTCTCCAACTCTTCATCCGTTATAAATAATTTTGACTCCCTCCATTTGGAGTATACATCTTGGCTACCTCTGGAACCACTGGAGTCACTGCCAGCAATCTGTATATTCAGTTCTTCTGTTGACTGTATAAGGTTTTGTACAGATAAAGATTTTCCTAAATCCATTTGCACCACAGGTTTAACTGAGAGCAAAGGTTCCCCTTCTGTATCCAGACTTTTTCTCCATGTGAGATCCTTTGTCGCACTGGGCTGTGCAACTTGTCCATTATCCTTTGATGCAACAAGGCAAGCGGTGACATTAGAAATATTTTCCTGTGTGGTTACAGGAATAATATGAATGGGCTCAGGCCTATTGACATGCTTCATCGATGAGAAAGGTGGTATTTGTAATGTTGTCGGAGTTGCTGGCTTAGTTGTCTGGTTTATTTGGTTTGATGTATTATTAACTGTTGCAGGTCCATCATTTGGCACTTGTGTTGCTTGACTATGCATAGCTGGACTAAAAGCATAGTAAGCCTGAGTGCTAAATTCATTTGGTGTCAGTATAAGCTGTAGGCCACGAGGCAGATTGGCACTAGCTGATCTGGATACGCATCCACTAAGTTGTGCAGAATTAGACAAATCTTTGCTGTCTGATGGACTTTGATAATCAGAAGTCTGCTCACACTCGAAAGCTGGCATTTGAAATGAAGCCAAAGTGAGTGCAGATGCAGATCCTTTTCTCAAAACTTGTTGATAAATATCTAATAGACAGTCCAGTTTTGACTCAATGGATTGTACCTATATGAAAGGAAAAGGTCAACGTTAGTGCCAAATATTAATTTAAAATATCTGGAACCCAAGCAAGGGGAAAATGTAACTGCTGAAGAGAAAAATGGAAGTAGCTTGATGTATGCTATTGAGCCTTGAAAAAGAATATCAGAAGCCATGTACATTTTTCATAAGCAAGCTGAATAAAGGGGAGAAAACGTTAAGGTAATGCAATTCCTGTAATTTTTATTTCAATGTAGAAATTAAGCAGGTGTTAGAAAAAAAAAATAAAATTACCTGTTCAGCTTTTGAAACTGGCAATAAAACACAGGAAAAGCATGAGCAATAAAGCAAGACAAAGTAACACAGATGGTCACTCTACCTGTTTCTCCACTTTGACAACCCGCCCTAACATGCTGACATCATCAGTTGTCTCATGCTCTGCAGGATTCTTTTCTCTGCTTCTTTTATCTGCTGTGATTTGTCCTTTCCCGAGAATTTGATCAACACTGAAAGAGAAACCAAAAGTTGTTGTCAGTCCTGGAACTGGCATAGATATGGAAGTGCTTGCTATATTTATGAGTTAAAAATCACAGTACTTCAGGAAAGCACTCAAGGAAGAAGACAAACATAATTTTATTAATTAAGGGGAAAAAAAAGGAGTGATTTTTGAGCATATTAGATTACTTTTCTTTTTTGTTGGCACTAACCAGGAGTCAGAACTTAGCCATCATCTGGGAAAGCCTAAAAGCCTAAAGGGCTAGACTTACTGAAAGGGGGAAGGAGGAGGTGGCCTCTCCAGCAGATTGATGTTATGGAGAAACACCATACCAGTGCCACTCCCAGCTCCCCCATCCTAACAACATCCACTCCTAGGAGAGTTGTCAGTTTGAAGCAGGAATCCCTAATCTTCCCTGATAATGATAAATATGATGTCATGTTGTTTGGTTTGGTTTTTTTAATTACTATTTCTGGCAATCTCTAACATAAAACCCACATAAATACTACATTATCAGTAGTTCTCAATTTCTTTTATGTGAAAATAAGAAGTATGGGATGGGAAAGAGGCAGTTCTCAATGTCTTCCTCACCCTTTTGACTAAAGTCTTTGTTTGCAAATGGACTTTACAAATAAAGGATTACCTTTTCTACTGTTCAGACTTCCATTTTCTGAGAAGAAATTTGGATACTTTTTTTTTGTTTGTTTTTTCCCACCATTCAATTTCTGGCTCAGCTGTGCTCACAGAAAGAGAGGCTACGTAGCACAGAAATGTTAAACTTTGCCAATATACTTTATGCAGTGAATGACATTAGATGCTTATGCAGAGTGTAACTAATTCTTTCCTTACCGTGACTGAAGACTCTTAATCCTGCATAACATGTCTAGATGACCTGCTGAATACTGTTCAATGACATCTTTGACATCATATGGGCGAAGTGTTTCCTTAAACTTCCTCTTTGCAACATGAAACTTCATAATTCTGCCGGGGAAAAACATATTATAGGTTAATTTTCAACAGCTGTGGAACCGTAGGTATAGTTCACTGACAATATTTGATAGCTCATTTTTAAATGGAAGGTATTTTCAATGCAGCTTTTGCAAGTAAACTTTCACTTTTTTTTTTTAAAGTACAAATGTACTGTAGCTATGTCTCTGAATTGTTTGAGAGATTAGGTAACACTGTTTTAAAGATTGCAGACCACATTTAGTATATCAGTATATACCCATTTGACTTTTTTGTGCTAGGTATTTGATATTAAATGTACCAAAGTATACAAGTGACTTAAACCTGGGATTAGTTTCACTGACTTGAGTGAGGTACCATGTTAGCTACATTTGTGCATAAGATGCTTCTGTTCTTGTTCCAGGAAAGATTTCTTTAATGAATCGATTACACAAACTTAAATAACAAGTATTCTTGTCTGATGTTCATTTTAAGTTCCTTGCTCTGCTCTTTGAGGGAAACCAAACAACCTAATTAATTTTTCATGAGTTTTTATTTTTAAATTAACACTCATTCCTAAATATTTGTTTTCCGCTTATTTGGCTGACTTAAGATCAAATTTTGCCAGCTGAAGAGAAGTTTTTGTGTTTGTTCCTACTAGAATTATTGCTTAATTAGCATTCACAAGTTTTTCCTTGAACTTTACTGCAGAATACTAACTTTTCAGATAATAGTAAATATCCAAAATTGATGAATGGCATATGTGTTTCTATGTGAGTCTTGCACAATTTTCTGTGATATGTGACATGAACATGTGATGTCCCCATAGTAGCTCTTCTTAGAATTGAAAGCTTGATATTGAATCACAAATTTAAACAATAAAAGTGACAAATTTAGAAAGTTAATGACAGTGAGATGATTTTCCTGGTCAGCTGGTAGAACCTGAAGTTTTCCTTTGTTTACCTAAGAACTGGGAGAGAAGACAAGGGTTAGCCATTCTGGCCTGTACTGCAGAGCTTATAAATTCCCATTACAGCCAAACTGCTGATATTTGCTATCTATTGCAATTGAAAAATCAGAGACTGTAAATTTGTATCCTATCCCAAATGCCAGTATTCATGACAATGTAGCCCTCTGTGTTTATTATGTTATGTATTTAGCAGGTGTAAGACAACAAGGTATAATAAAACCCAAAACATGGCTTTCACTCTCTGATAAAAATATATTAATGGTTTTTAGTGGAATTTAGAAAAGCCATACTTCATATGAAGTATATATACTTCATATTCAGGACAGACATGATAATAGGTATGTAGAGTTGCATTGATAGCATATAGTATATAGTGATCCTCTACTGATTTTTGTATCATACATAAATATTCTTACAGATAATGTCAGCCTTTTCTCACAGTACTTAGCTTGTTGGTATTTCCCATTCTGGTAACATTCAGTTAAATATGAGATTGTTTGTCACTGGTATAGAACTATGATTCTGATTATAGAAATTAAAAATGGAAAAGGCCTGTTAGGAGCAGTCCATCAACTTGACACTTCAGGAATGATCTTCATGCACTTTCAAATATATCAGATCATGGGCCTTCCTCTTTTGCATTACCAGCTAGTTCTGCAGACCAATGGCTTTTGGTATCTTCTGTAATCTGGAAGACTGTGAAGCTGTGATGAATCCGGGATGTGGATTTTTTTTTGTCTTTTTAGCTGTCAAATTATGCCAAGGTGCTGGTTTATAAGACCCTAACAACCGAATCTTCTGAATCTAGTTCTTTATTGAGGTTACAAAGAATGAATGATGCAGCTGACATACAAGACAGGATGATAGTTTTGTTGTTATTGTTACTATGTTTCGGTGGTCACAATGTTTTACTTCATGTGTTTAATAAAATGAAAATATGAAACTCTATTAGAAAAGAAGAGCCAGATGATTATTGGCATAATTGAAGACAACTGAATTTACCACAACTGGGTGATTTTACAAGGGAAGAGGCAGAAGACTAATTTATATTAACAACCATAGAAGCTTCTTAATCAGGTAGCACAAAAGTCTTCATTACTACTTTGCAGCTTCATAACACTTTTTTTGCTTATCAAGGCAGTTTGTTCATAATGTTGAGAAGTCAAACAGAATTGAAAGCATCACAGCTGTATCAGTGAGCTGTAACTGCACTATTTTTGGTTTAGGTATTAGCTCTTGCGATTCCATCTTAATTAACTTCAGCACAGTTTGGAACAGACCCATATTCCTCACTTCTTTTTCTTCAAGTACACAAAACGTTACATAAACTGTGTAAAAAAATATTGAACTATTAAAAAACTGTCATTTTGAAAGTCTGCAAGTTAATTAAGAAAAGTGATTCTTTCAGTGATGGAACCTTGCAACTGCTTTGCAGTTATTAAATGTGGTTGAATCTCCATAGTTACTTAGTGTCAGTTTTAAAAACTCAGTTGGCTTCCTAAGTCTTGAAATCATTATGTAATTAAATTTCTTTTCTGTGAAGGTGGTAAGGCTCTGGAACAGATCACTCAGGAGAGTTGTGGATGCCCCATCCCTGTCACTGTGCAAGGCCAGGTTGGATGGGGCTTGGAGTAAGCTGGTCTCAAGACCCAAGCAACCTTGGAGCGACCAAGTGCGATGTGTCCCTGCCCATAGCAGGATGGGTCAGAGCTAGATGGTTGTTACAATCATACAAGCCACTGTATGATTCCTTGTGTTTGGACACCCATCCGGATGGATGTACAACCACGCAGACTGTGAGCTGCTGTGGGATAAAATCCAAGGGAATAGCAGGTAACCTGTCGGTAGGAAGAGGGGAAATCGAGCACCAAGTCGCGCAGGCCGCAGTTCGGAGCGCCAGCCCCGAAGGCGGCCGGGCGGCCAGGGCTGCCTTTCCCAGCCGCACCAGCAGGGGGCGAACAAGGCCCGTCACAGGCCAGCGAAACGGGACCGAGCTCCGCTGAGAATTTGTCATAAAATGTAGCTTATTTCAGTGATACAGCCAGAGAAGAGCGGGGAAAAAAACCCGTCGGTTGAAGCAGAACAATATATAAAAGTGCTTTGTCTGAATTAGTACCTAAACCACAGGTCCATCTAATCTTTACTATACTCTGATAATTTGTGGAAAGTTACAGGTCCAATACCAACTTCTGTCCTATTGACCCATAGCCAAAAGCAGCACCCATTTAATTTATTTGTTCTCAGATCCAGGATCAGCATTACTCTAAAATTAGTGCTTTTGTACTTGCATGTTGCATATCTTCCCTGGCATTCACTGCATTTTAATTTGCATTCATGTTGCCCTTTCCAGTATTAAAAGCTGTTTTGCTTGCCATTTAGTGCACTTTCCTGAGACCGGCACCAAGTTAGAACATCCCTAATCCTTCGTGCAGCCTTGTTATACTCATGCTATTATTTTCAAAGCTGTGCCTTGTCAGTCTAGTCATTATCTCAGGAAGAAAAAGGGCTCCATTCTCTACTGCGATTCATGTAGAATCATACACGGTTACTGCCTTGAATATTAAATACAGGTAGGTTGTTTTATTCACAGCCAGATGAGGGTGACCACAGGTTGTTTGCTCACCTACCACATGAGGAAAGCAGGTGCATAGAGATCTAGCTTTGCTGGTGCCTCTGTCTCTCTACCCTTAACTTGCCTAATATCCCTTCTTCCTGGAAATACTGTATTGTGCAGAAGAGATCAGGATCCAACACAGGGAGTCCAGCAGACAAAGGTGCTTGAGACACAGCTCTACTACATGTGAGGCAAGTGAGTAAAAATGGTCTTCTCCCTCATGTCTCGACCTGACTCATCTCCTAGCAGCCAGAAACATGATTTTCCCCCAGGTATAGTGCTGTCCTAGCCAAACACATGTGTAAGAGCCTTGCCTTGGCTCTGAAGACCATCTGGCAGAAAATAAACAATGTGTTTGGATTTAAAAGAAAGAGGTGGTCTGAAACACCACACTGAACAAATTCAAAACAGCTACTAAAAATACATTTTATAGGTGTTGCAGGAACATTGTAAAGACTAAACATAAATGGTAAATTATATTTTCCATCTTTGTCTGTTAAATATGTATGACTGTTCAACTATACAGCTTATCAGCTCTAGAATTCTCAAGTTTCATTACATTTAGCTACAGTTTTTTCTTTTTTTCATTAGCAACAAATGAAAACATATCTTTGCAATCACTAGAGTTAAAGAGAGAAAAGACCTATTAGGTCAGTACGTTCATCTTCCTGCCATTGCAGTTACTTTCTCTTGCATATTTATTTATGCTTCTCAAATCTCATTTTATATTCCATAAATAGTACAGTAATTCCATCATTTCCACGTGGAAAGCATTATTGAAATGAGTGCTTCTTGCTATGGAAAATGATCAGAGATATCACAATATAGGGAAACAAGGTATCCTCATCTTCCTTTTAGTCTCTTTTATACACATTCATCATTGTGAACTAATAGAGCTGGAAAATACAATGCTTTTTGTTAGTCTCCAGGATCTCTGCAGGATATTAGTGGCTTTTTGTTCATAACAAGACTGGGGGTGGTTGAGTAGCACCGAAGAACCTGCTGGCACACGGACTCAGTGCACTGCTAGCAAGGACTGCTTTGTGCCCTGCTCTGATCCCAGGGGGAGGCTGTGGATGAGCAGGACTGATCCTGGCTGGGCCCAAGGCATGCTGTGGTGCACACCACGCTTCACCACACTGCCCATCTGTACCCTACTCACCCAACACGGTGCAAATGCATCGAGCAGCTTTTCCTCACTTTCCCTACTCCCTCAGTTGATCTTTCCTGACAGAGAGCTTGTGGAGTGAGAGGGGATGGAACAGGCAGCACACAAGATAAAAGGCTCAGTTTAGGGGGCTTTGAGAGCAGATTAAGAGCTTGACATGTTACCAGACAGGTTTGCCTGGTGGGTCTTCAGCAGGAGTAGTTGAGAGCCCTGTCTTTTTTGGAAAGGACCAAAATGTTAAGAACTTTTTCAGGAAAGGACGGTTTTCTCCATCCTCTGTTTTGACTATAACAGAATGAAAATTTTGGAGTTTGTTTACTTAAAAACCTGTTTTGAAGAATAAAGTAGTCCTGGAAAAAATATAAGTAAACAAGGTCAAAACTGACACGGTAGACTTTGGAATTACCAAAATGAAAAATTATAAATAATCCAGTTTTTTTTTCTTTTGCTGTTACAAGGCTGTCCAACCTGAGATTAGGGAGCAAATTTTAGGTTCCTTGCACATAAAAAAACCCCCACCCCAAATGTTTTGATTCCAAAACTGAGAGGACCTACCTCTGTAAACCCACAGGCATTAATTAATTTTGTTAATTTCATTTCCCCCTAAAACAAAGGGGTCATTTGTGTCTATGTAAAACAATTTGTACCCAAATCTAAGCAGGAAAAAATAATTAGTCTCCCTTATAGCAATTTTTCAAGTTGATGTATCAAGAATGGATTCAACTGTCTGTGTTTACATTTGAGTTCTTTTCATAGTGTGTCATAAAACTATGCAAGTGCCTTCTGTCTTCGCCTGCTTCTGTATACCAGATGCATGAAAGGAAAACCAGCCTTCACCCTCCCCCACTGCCTTTGCAATTCAAAGCTGTTTCTAAAAACAAACTTCAAAATGAGGCACAAAGTTTCCATATAGGCAGATGTTATCATCTTGAAATTCTACAGTTACTATATAGAGTCTCAGATCCTTCTTCAGATGTTTGCATAGATCCCAGTGTAGTCTGGTAACAGATACTCTGAATAATCAGAAAGAGGTGTATCAGCTACCTGATGAACTGAATTATCAGTCTCTTGATTTTGAGAGATTAAAGTATAGCATATACAGAAGTCTCAAGATCATGACATATTACTGCTTTACAGATGTCAAACAAAGGTAAGTTTCTGAAGCAAGATGCATGTGCTGCTTGTAATCTTGCAAAACACTAAAATTTGCAGGGAGATGGGAGAGATTCATGGCTAATTGATGGCAAGTGGAGATTCTTTGTCTCAGCCTCAGTGGTGACATGAGTTGTTTTTCTAGTAGGCCATGCAGAGTAAATGTTGGAGAGAATATAAAAATTTTATTCTCATCAGTTAAATAGTACATGAATGAAACAATCAAATCTTGCACCTTTGCTCTTCTTATTAGAACATTTCTGTGGATGGTACTGTGGAGAAAATTTCCCAACTATATCCTTCACATTGGGTTACTTTCCATTTGAACTGATGATGACCAACTCCACCAAGCAAAAATGCAGATGATGCATTGAACAATCCAGTGGCCCCTTAGAAAATGAGCTCCGTGAATTAAGTATTAAAATGTGTAATCAAGGAATTTGGACAGTATGAAGAAATGGTTGTCCCTTGCCAGGACAAGTGGAAAGGTGCACCTGGAGCCAAGAGTTGTCCAGTCTGTTTAAAATGCAGCATCAGAGAGAAGCATCTTTGACACCTAAGCCAATGGAATGCTGAGTGTTCCTAACGTGAGCATTTTCCATTTGAGGGAATAGGCTTGCCTTGTGGGTGGGTGTCCACTGTGAAAAAAGGGTTCCTGTCACCTGCTGGAACATTGCTAGCAAGAGATGGTTTTCAGCAATGGCATTTGGGTTGCCAGTTGCAGTGGCTGTGGACAAAGGCCTGGTATCTGAATTATCCTGTGGGGTCATTTCCAGGCAGGTTGGAAAATGGTAGGAAAAGATGTCTGCGAATGATCTGTCAAGCTGTCTGTGCTAGTAGAAAAGTTTTAGAAACAGCCTTACCCACTATCTGTCTTCATTTTACTCAATGGAAAAAGGGAAGGAAATGCAAGTAGCCCATATGTTATCACTGCATGAAATTGTGCGATAAAAAGCTCGAGTTTCTTCTTCCTACAGTGCTGAGAAAACTCAGGCAAGGGTTTCTGTCCAGGAAAACATTGTCTTTCCATAGGTTTTTGCAGAAATTCCTTTTGGCTGCTGTCTGTCTGCCTACCTTCCTGCACCCAAGAAGGGTGCTGGGCACTGATGTGACTGTGATGCAGAGCCAGTGGGGTGACCCCCAGTGATAACCTGAGGTTTGCTGCCACCAGACAGGGAATGCTTCAGCTCCCCTTGCTTGTTGCTGTACACTTTATGGTGGGGATTTTGTCAGAATTTATGCTTCAAAATACTCTTGAAGATAAATAGCCTTGGGAGTCTCGAGAGGGTGAATGACACTTTTAAACATTCAATGCAGGAAACTTTGTAAGTTTCAATGCAGTTTGCTACTTTCTTGGAAAAGGAGAATATTTGTTTTAAATTATATGGGTTATATTTAGTTTAGTGGATAGTGATAGGCAAGGCTTTGGATAATTGAATTAATGTAATTATTCTGTTCTTAGCAGAAGAAATTTGCAATAAATTCTTTTTGAAAAATCTCAGGAATATGGAAATGCAATAAAACCCTACAAGGCAATAAAACCTTTTAAAGGAAGCAACTTTTCCAGGCAAGGTGATACATATTCAGTAAAATTACATGAAATTGTATTTTGGATAGCATAAAATATAATGAAAAACAGCATTCAAACAACATATAATGTTAACTGCATCCATCTTCCTTTCTGTGTCAAATCATGTAACATTTTTAGATACCAAAAACTGATAACAGAACTGATAAAATGTTTTAACTAAAATAGAAAAGAAGTATAATATATTAGCATTAGTTATGTAACAAATATAGCCATGTAATAAGTTCAAGTAACTATCATTTTATGAAGAGACATGCAATTTATTAGTATCCTAACTAAAGAAAACTCAGGTGTTTATTCATTCAATATTTTCTACTCACCTGATAGCTCTAATAACAGTTTTAAGGGCAGGGGTGAGATCTTCTACAGACACATCACACTGGCACCCTTTGTCATCATAAACATCATCTGTTCCAAGACTGGTGTCAGCTGCAAAAGGCAAAAGCAGACTAAATAAGACAATTTAAGAAATCTCCTCCTCAGTGTTTTCTAACAGCCTGCAGAGTGGTTCTGGAAAAAGAAGAACTACATATCAAGCATGACAAACCTCCATCAGTTTATGAACTATGTGATACACTTGTGTGTATCTATGCTTGTGTCATAAAATTCCTCGGTAGTCCAAGGGTAAATAGTAAAAATTGGGAAGGAAGAATGCCCTATTATTTTTCAAACCAATCAATAGCTGAATACCAGCATGTTTATTCCTGATGTCCCCTGGTTTTTCATCACATTCTCTGTTTTATGGGAAAGTGGTGAACTATGAGATGTAATGGCAGAATCAAAAGATGGTAAAGTTGCATTATGACGGTTTTACCACTATGGATCAACCTGACATTGAAGACAAAGGAGAAGAGGCATTTCATTTAATAAGCAGGCTATGGAATGACCCAACACTTTATTACAGGTGAAAATAAACAAAATACTTTTTTACTAAGAATGAATAATTGCCACCTTTAAACCTCAGAGTCATGTAGGTATTTCAGGCTTCCTTTGCCATAGAAGTTTAAGCCAAGTTCCTGTGTCTATTTACCTGGAAAAAAGTGGATCCTTTATAATTTCCTAAACACCACCTCTGCAGAGCTGCCATCTGGGAATTAGCTAGAAATCTCAAAAATGTCCATTGTACCTCAATACATAAACAAAACAGGTACTGATGCATGAACAAGTGGTTTACAAGCTTAAAACGTGCTGGAATGCAAATTGAGCAAGAAGGACAGGGTCATGGATGCCCATACATCATCTGTGTTTCAAAGGCACATGAACTACAGGAAAATTCTTTGGAGGAAGTGCTTTTCCTCCCAAATCATCTTTCTTCAACTTCATAAAATCCAAGTGCCCAGAAGAATTTCACTCAAGGTTAGTGTATTTCATCACGTAAGTGTCTCTGCTTCAGAGACAGAAGAGAGTGTAAAATGAGTGACATGAAACAGAGGAAAAAAGATGGGATTAAGTGACCCTCAGTAAGAGAGTAGATTTCTTCCCAGTCCTAGGTTGCTGCCTCATTCATGCTGTTATTTAAAACAACAGGTTTAATCATTCAGAAACACTTCAAGTAAATAATTTCAGGGGTTTAAATTATAAGCAGATTTGAAGCACAGTCAGACACAAATGATTACAGGACATTCTTTCAAATTCCTTTTTCAGGAAGACTGCAAGTTAAAGAAGAAAAATATTATTTGTCAGTCAAAAGAGCCAAAAATGTCATGGTACCTTCTAAATCTAATAGGGATGCCATCTTGGCATAAACAGTTTTGTACTTAGCATCTTCAGGAACTGGTATTGCTGCATTATTTTCTTCACAGATTTAATGTTCAGTCTTACACTTTTTTTTTTTTCTTTTTTCAATGAGTCTGGCAAGTTCATTACCTTTGGGAACACATTATTTTTTTGTTACTGTTGCTGAACCAGTATGAGAAACATCTGTAGCTTTTAATAACATATGAATTCATCTTTGACAGATCAACTTAATAAAGATGGCTTATAGCCAGTATTTAAGTCTACATGAAACAATCAAATGCAACCATTAAAAATTAAGTTTTAAATTGTAAAAGTGAAATTTTCATACAGAACTTTGAAGTCTCTCCTTCCATGCTATTACTGTAAGTCATGACTACAACAATGCCAGGAATGTTTTTTCCTTGCACTTTTTCATGAGCTTCACTCCTGACTCGGCTTATCTTATTGATAAAATATACATCTCTCCACCCATCCTGCCTCAATTTGGATCCCTGCCCAGAAATTTGACTAGCTAAAATAAACTTTATAATTAGTTTGATAGGTACTACCTAAACCACCATCTCAGGACATGCTAAATATTCCACAACACTAACTTTCCAGGTGTCACATCTGATCAGCCTCTCCAGTTACCTCTCCCAGTGTGGAAATCTCCCAGCTAATTTATAAGTGCCATATTAAAACCAGAGCTTTTTATGTTACTGGTATTTCCAGAGACTCTCTAAGGTTTGAATCTATTCAGTTATGCCAGTATAAATTAGGAAAAATACTGCTCAGATCACAAGAGCTATAGTCATCTAAACCCAGTGAAACAGGAGACTCCTACCTGAAAGTTTAAAGTAAACATGTTTCTGTATGGTTGTCTCACGGATACGGCTCCTGGGTCCTTTGCCAAGTGCAGTGTCATTAATAAAAGGGCTTCCTTACCAAAGTATATCTCTGCATAACTTTTTTGAGAACTGTGTGTTACAATTATAGTGTTCCATGTTGCTCCCTTGTGGATAAAAAAACTCTGCAAAATTTTTAGACAGATGCTGGACAATTCTTATAAATTTAAGCCAGCTTTAATAAGAAATGCTGCTCATAATAAATCACCTTTTTTCTTTCTAATATTCCCCTGATATGAATTTCCTTCATTGTGGCAGACACTCAATACCACAGATCAATAAAGCTTGTGAAAAGCTATAGCCTTGTTTGATTCCTATGGGAAACATAAATGTTTCTTTAGCATACTGAGAAGACCTGGGAAAAAGTTTGGGAAATGCGTAGTAGCAATTTGGAGAAAAAAAATCCAGCTTAAAACACCACTGAAATCAAAGTTCACATTCTTACGAATTTTTCCAGTGGAAGCTCATGTTGTGTACCACATAGTTACGAGGTGAGATGTACTTGTACCCTTTCTGTCCCTCTTGAGTTCACCGTTGAGGTCAGGGCTGAGTTGGGGTCAGTTTGGCTGCTTTAGCAGCTCCAGCTGTTCAAACCTCTGCCAGCTCCCAGATGGGGCTAAGCTATGTTCTCCAAGCTGCTATCTGTTCCCAGAGAGAGCCCTTCCTAGCCATTAGTGGGGCAGCTAGACCTGCCAGTGCCAGCTCATGCCTAGCCCTGCTCACATCTACATCTTCATCCTTCCCCACACCCTTTGTGTGTACCTTCTGCTCTCCAGTGGGGTGGCTGTGCATGTTCCAAGTGGGTTCCACAAGGAACTGAGGGCAGCAGCTGCTCTGCATGAGCCTGGCTTCACTGCCAGTCTTTCCTAGGGTTAGCCCTGGTCTTTCTCTCCAGGAGCCTCTACCACAAGCTAACCAGGGCTTTCAAGTCTGTTCCTTGGGCAGCTCAGGAATATGGCCTCAATGATACCCAAAATGTCTTTTAATACACATTTAGACAAACCCCTGCATGTCTCTTTAAGAAGGGCTATCAGTCTACTTGACAATGCAGACCTTTTTCTAACACCAGCATATTTAGAATTCAGTATGTGTTTTGATCTTAAACAAACAAAATGATTATTTCACAATTGATGATGCATCTGCCATTGTCTTATAATCTTTGACATTATTTACTTTGGGCTACTGTCTGGTCTTTGCCATTTTTTAATTTCTTGTCAAACAGTCTTTGATTCAATCACACAGCAAACCAGCAATTACCAAGAAATAGAAGAGGTATGCACAAATCAGTAAAAGTGTCTTGATATTTTGCTGGTTTTCACAGTATTTATGGATTTTTAATGCAAATTTTAGTAATTTTTGATCACTATAAATGAATGGGCAAAAAAATTAGGCTGTTCTAAAACATTATATGTCACCAACAAAAAAATTTACAAGTTTGTAGCTGCATTTCATATGGCTCTGTGCAAATGTTATTCACAAGGCTTGATTCATTATATCTGTAAATAGTATGTCCTTTCTTAGAAATGTTTTCTGTTGTTTAATAATATGCTTTGGCATTGGGGAAACTGATGCTGCTCTGATCACTCTCATAGCTTCTTGCTCACAGTGTCAATAACATTCAAGTAATTATCTGCCTGTTCAAAAGAATCCAAAAGTGATCCCAATATAGACCTTTTGACTCATTTTTTGGAAGCCTTCAGAAGCACTTAGATCTTACTCTGACTGTGCAAGAGGTAGTTAGGGTTCTTCATGTGGATGACATAAATAATTTTGCTGAGGCTGACAACCCATCATGTCACAGAAACCACCTCTGTGGCCCTCCCACTACCAAGAACCAGGCCATGCAAAACCAATACAACATGTCAAAATCTCAATAGGTGCCTGAAGTTGATAACCTGCATGTTACTCATGCTTATTCATGTTGACTTGGCTAAAACCACACTGGTTTGGAAAAATACCTGATTGATTTTGATTGAAATGTATGACTGAAGGTGAAAATTGGATGGTGGCCTAATTTTCACAGGTGCTGAGTTACTTTGAGCCATAGTTTTTAACTATCATTATAAAAACTGAGAGTTTGAGTTGGAAATTGAAGTCCAAGCAATTAATAATGCATCTCCACAGCTTGTTCTCCACCCTATTCAGCAGCCTCATGTGAGTGCAGAGCTGCTCTGGCTGCCCAGGGCAGCAGTGCTGGGCACCCCAATGTGATGCCCTCATCTCTGTACTCATTTTCTGTTTGAGTGGTCAGAAAGAAAATGAGTGGGTAATTCAGCGCATCTAACTTCTGGGAAAATAAATTTGGACATAAATTCAAAGCTTTTGGGGGACAGATTGTCCCTGTGGGAGGTGCCAGTGCACAGGTCTGCTGCAGCAGGGGGTCCAGGCAGCTGCTTTATTATGAGACTCCAAACTGCCTTAGTCTCATGTGGCTACCGAGCTCAGATGAACCCTCTAGCCCAAGAAGCAATGCCAGCAGCTTAATACTCTCATTATTCATTCTTTCAGCCTCCTATGTGAGCAAATAGGGCCTCTGTTGTGCTAGTCTATGTAATGCCCAGGGTGTCTGCAAGGTAGGTGCATTTCATTCAACTTTACCCTTTGAAGTACCTTTCTTCACTATGAGCATTTACTGTGGTGAATTAGGGATTTTAACCTATGTTCTCTAAAAAATGGAGATACCCTATACATATCTTGTAATATTTCCACAGATGCTATAATGGATAGAATGCTTCACAAAATCCCAATTAGTTTTTCTCCCCCCAAAAATTATTCTACATACAAATGTCTTGATGGTTTATGTTCATG